CTACAGCCAACTGGTTTTTGACAGAGAAGCCAAAAACATGCACTGGGGAAAGGACAGTCTCTACAGTAAATGGTGCTGGGAAAATTGGAGATCCTTATACAGAAGAATGAAAGTAGACCCCTATCTCTCACCATAAACCAAAATCAACTCAAAATGGATTAAAAACTTAATGTAAGACCCCAAACTATAAAACTTCTAGAAGAAAACACAGGGGAAACACTTCAGATCATAGGACTGGGCAAAGATTTTATGAATAAGATTTCTAAAGCACAGGCAACAAAAGAAAAAATAAATGGGATTATATTAAACTATAAAGCTTCTGCACAGCAAAGGTAACAATCAACAGAGTGAAGAGACAACCTGAGGAATGGGAGAAAATATTTGCAAATTATGCATCCGACAAGAGATTAATATCCAAACTCAAACAACTCAATAGTAAAAAACCAAATAACCCAATTTAAAAATGGGCAAATGAGCTGAATAGACATTTCTCAAAAGAAGACATACAAATGGCCAACAGGTATATGAAAAGATGCTCAACATTGCTAATCAACTGAGAAATGTGAATCAAAACCACAATAAGATATCATCTCACCCCAGTTAGAATGGCTATTATCAAAAATAACAAAATAACAAATTCTGGCGAGAATGCAGAGAAAGGGGAACTCTTTTATACATCGTTGGTGGAAATGTAAATTGGTATAGCCATTGTGAAAAACAGTATGGAGGTTTCTCAAAGAACTATGGATAGAACTACCATACAACTCAGCAATCCCACTACTGGGTATATATCGAAAGGAATGGAAATAATCATGTCAAGGGGATACCTGCACTCCCATGTTTATCATGGCTCTATTCACAATAGCCAAGGGTTGGAACTGACCTAAATGTCCTTCAACAGATGAATGGATAAAGAAAATGTGGTATATATATATATACACAATGGAATACTATCCAGCCATAAAAAAAAGAATGAAATTCTGCCATTCACAGCAACATTGATGAGCTTGGAGAAAATTATGTTAAGCGAAATTAGCCAGACAAAGAAAAATACGACATGTTCTCACTCATATGTGGAAGCTAAAAAAGTTGATATCATAGAAGTACAGAGTAGAATAGTGATTGCTAGAGACTGGTAAGGGGAGGGAAGAGGATATGGGGAGAAGATGGTCAATGGATACAAAATTGTAGAGAGATAGGAAGAATAAGATCTAGTGTTCTATAGCAATATAGAGAGATTACAGCCAACAGCAAACTACTGTATAACTTCAAGTAGCTGGTTGAGACGATGTTGAATGTCCCCAATACAAGAAGGTGACAAATGTTTGAGGTGATAGATATGCTAGGTGCCCTGATATGATCATTGCACACAGTGTAAATGCACCCAAATATTATATTATACTCCATAAATATATATAATTATCATGGGTCAATTAAGAAAAAATAAATTAAAAAGAAAAAAATTTCAGAGACAGAAGTAGACTAGAGGTTACCAGAAATGGGGTGTAAGGGTGGGGGTGGGAAGGAATAATGGAAGTTATTCCTTAATGGGTACAGAGTTTATGTTTAGGATGACGAAAAAGTTTTGGTAATAGATAGAGGTAGTAGTTACACAGTATAGTGAGTATAATTAATACCACGCAATCGTATGTTTAAAAATGCTTAAAATGCAATCCTTATGTTATATATGTTTTACCATAATAAAAAAAAAAGAGTTGGAGGGTTTGAAGTAGCTAACAAAACATAAAAATACAAAAAGTAATTAAAGTAAAAATTTTAGATCACAACCATGTTAAAAGAGGCCAACACAATACATCAGTTGAACATGTATGTCCCAAAGTTGTGTTCTATGGAAGTAGAATAGTGATTGCCAGGGGCTGGGAGGAGGAGGAAATGAGGAGTTACTGTTTGATAGGAAGTTTGGGAAGATGAAAAAATGTTCTGGAGATGGTGGTGGTAACTGCACAACAATGTTAATGTGATTGATGTCACTAACTACACTTAAAAACGTTTAAAATGTAAATTTTATGTTATGTATATGTTACCGCAATAAAGTATTCTATGGAGAAAAAAAAGTGCATATTTTGATTCATTAGCTCTGGGGTGGGCTGAGATTCTGCATTTCTAATAAGCAAGCACCATGTGACACTGATGCTGCTGGTCCATGGATCACACTTTGAGCAGCAAAAGGGTATTGTAAATGTGATAAATCTCTTTCAGTATGTACCTACTCTGGGCCAGCCCATGGACTAGGCCCTACTACCTTAAAATGCAAATGATTTTTTGTGTGTTTGCTTGTTTGCTTTATTAGGGAGTATTAGTTTTTAATTTATTCTTTTGAATATGTAATGTGTAGATGGTAGGAAAAAAATTTTTTTTCATAAAATCCAAATGGGTACATAGTGAAAATGCCTCACTCTCCAGAGGTGATCACTTTTACTTCTTGAGTTTTATCCCAGAGATACTTTATGCATATAAGAGCATATATTTGTACTATATCCTTTTTTTTTTTAACCACGTGGCAACTTACTGCTCAGCCACTTTCCTTTTTCATTTATTATGTCTTGGAGATTGTTTCATATCTCAGCATATATCTCTCCATCCTGTTTAGTAGGTAGTATAGTGACCACACAGGATACATTTGTTGTTTGTTTTTATAAAGTATACAGTGAAGTGTGATTACTTCTTGGCTTCTTCCTCATCCTACACAGGCCATTTCCCAGGGAGAACAGCTGTCCTTTCTTCCGTTCTTTGAATCCTCTGAATTACCTGACTCATGTTGGTGTATTTGTGTCAATTTCACTTGATCTAGTGTACATCCATCACTCATTTACACAAGCGTGTCTACACATTTTTTTCAGATTCCAGTCTACCTAGACTCCAATTTTTTTTTTTTTTTTTTTTTTGAGGCTGGCTGGTACAGGGATCAAACCCTAGACGCTGGTGTTATCAGCACCATGTTCTAACCAGATGAGCTAACCGGCCAGCCCTCCAGTTGTTTCTTTACTCTGTATTCTTTCAGCACTCACAAGTCAGTCAGACATTCTCTTGTTTTTAAAAATATGTTATTGTGAAACACAGCCTACATACAGGTGTATAAAATGTATATACTTAAGGCAGAAGTGGAACATTATGTAGTAGAAGCCTTCTATCGCCCCAGTCATCCCCCATGTGCAACTCTCCTATCACAGGGGGATCTCTTCCCCTAAGAGGGTAACTACTGCCCTGAATTTTGGATTAATCATTTGCTAACTTTCCTTTTTGAAGTGGTTCTCAAGCTTTAGTGCATCTAGAGGGTTGTTAAAAAAAACACACATTGCTGGGCCCTCCCCGCAGTTTGATTAGCAGGTCTGGGCTGAGTCCCAAGAATTTGCATTTCTTATAAATTCCCAGGTGATCCTGATCCTGCTGGTCCCAGGACCACACTTTGAGAACTACTGCTTTATCTCAGAGATACTCTTAACTTTTGTACGATGACCCTTACTGAGTCCTCTCCTGAACCTCAGTCACTCAATAAATATCTCTAAGGTCCTCCCCTCCCCTTCTCCTTCTACTCTATTTCCTATCGCCTGATTTCTGAATGCTCAATCTTTGCTAAGTATTTTAATTGATTGTGGCATTTGACTGGTCTCCATTGTTTTTCTTCTCTGTTGGTCATCCCATTGCCAGGTTCCCTCTCTTTTGTGAGTATTATTGTTAGTTAACCAGGAGGAAGTGTATAAGCAACAGTTATCTGTTTTATTCATCTAAAGCTCGTTGAAAGAACCAAGTTTAATTTCCCTTGTAGTCCACTTCCTCAATTAAGCCGCAGGCCATGATTTACACACTCAGTTGCTTATAAAGGCCAAAAGACAGTGTAAATAAGTGAAGCTTGCCAGGCAGAAACTTATCTTCAAGCCATGTCCTGTGTAAAGAGGGCAGCTGCTACTTTACGTCTATCACAGGTCCGTTGTTCCCCAATTTTCCCAGTTTTCAAGAGAAACTAAAAATAATCCCAACTAATTCAGCATTGTGAATTACAGAGCAGGCTATACAGAATACTGTACATCTTCAGGAACCAAGACTGATCTGTTCTGTATTTCAGTATCTGCAGTTGATGGATGGACTGATGGGTGGGTGAGTGAGTGAATGTGGGTCATTGTGGCGCTTGGTAGTTGAAACTGTGGGAGTGGAGGGAGCGATTGTTGCGCATCTACTCTACACCCCGTGTGAGGGGCTTTACATACTTATCTCATTTGACCTTTATAACAACACAAGGTAGTTCTTATCAGTCTCATTTACTTACACACTCATTTCACAGGTAAAGAAACAGAGGCTTAGAAAGGCCCAGGGTCATACCACCAGTTTTTTAAATTTATGACCTACCTAATTCCCGCAAAAAGGATTTCAGATGGGCTCACATGATGTAAGCTGGGTCCTGAGCCTTGGATTTCAGACAGCTCTATTATGCAAAATCATCACCTCGAAAGAAATCAGGTTTTCAGAAGGCAGGTAGGGGGAGGGTGCCGAGGTTTTCAGGGGCCGGCCCGGTGGCGCACTGGATGGTGCGCCGCTTGGGAAGCGCAGCAGCGCTCCCGTCCAGGTTTTCAGAAGGCAGGTAGGGGGAGGGTGCCAATAGGTCAGGGAGCAGATTTGATTTCTTGAGCATCTTACTAATCAAGTCACAGCGTTGTGCTCCTTAAGGATGTCAGCCAATACTGAGGAGCTAAGACAGAAGGAGGTCTCTTGCCATTCAGTATGTCCTTCCTGTTTTCTCCTGTCTCCCTACTCACTCTCCTCCCGGAATTCTAGATTTCTGCCTACTAGCCTTGGAGCCCATTCCATCTTAATTCCTTTCTAGAGCCCAGTAGAATAAGGACAGAGACACTACAGGAGCTGTTTGGATGGAAAACACTTTATTGGAGTTGAGCCAAGAAACAGTTATTGTAGGATGGGACTCAGATCCTACGCCATCCCCCTCTTTCGGGGGGCTCAGCAGTGCCGGTTCTTGAAGGGAATGGTTACTGGGCATCAGGAGTTGCACTCCTCAGTCCTTTCAGCTGGAGGAAGAGGGGTTATGGTCAGATTGGGGGCCCCCCGGTACCAGAATCCCTATAAGGAAGCCCAGTACAGGATGGGGCACTGATGGAAAGGAATTTCTGCCCCAGCCTAAGTTCCCATCCTCCTCTAAATGTAGTAGCTGAGATTTCCCTTAGCTTTGGTGAGAAGGTGTCCCCACTTTGACTGTCCCCACTGTCCCTCCCAGATCCTCTGCCTCTTCTCTCACCCTCAAACCCCTTGTGCTCCTAATGCCCACCAGCTCTTACCTTAGGAAAGGCATCCCAGTTGAGGAAAGGAAGTTTCCTTTTGATAGACTGAGGGGGAAAAAAAAAGAATGAGCTTGCTATGTGGCAAGTCAGGTGAGCATGACCAGTAAGGACTCATTGAATGAGCCCTCCTAGTGAAGATGGTGCTATTGTTTTATAATTAAAGTATGAGCTAATATTTCCTCAGGCATTATTCTGTGTCTGCTTTGTACTAACTGCTCTACGGGCATGATTTTACTTGGTCTTTACAGCAGTCTTTTGAGATAGGTACTGTCATCACCCCTAATATCACAGATGAGGAAACTGAGGCTCAGAGAACTGAAGACGTTTGCGTGAGTGAGGTCACATAGAAAGTAAGGGCGGAGTCACGAGATGCAAGTTCTAATTCCAGCTGTCACTGCCTCAGCCTTCTACGTTTGGGTGGGCCTCAGTTTTTTTCAAAGAGGGTGAAGGGATTCAAATAAAATCCTGACTGATTAAGTTCTTCCTCTTGGGCTGGCTGGTTAGCTCAGCTGGTTAGAGTGTGGTGCTGATAACACCAAGGTCCAGGGTTTGAACCCTGTACCAGCCAGCCACCAAAAAAAAAAAAAAGAAAGAAAGAAAGACAAAATAAGTTCCTCCTCTTCTGTAATTGTCTTTGAGGCCCTGCTACCCTGCTGCCATCTTAGGAAATAGGGTATAGCCAGAACAGCCTCCTGGGGAAACTGTCTTCAGTTGACAACACATTGAGAAGCATTAGACAGGGCACTTACTCCCTCCTAGAACTCAGGAATGAATCAAAAGGGCTAAAACTAAAATGTGCTGCCATTACCCTGGGAAGATTGCAAGCCATCAAGGCGAGTAAGGGACACTCCAGCTCTTACCTCAAAGAGGGCGTGCCAGTTCAGGAATTCATCATTCTTGAAAGCCTGTGGAGGAAGAGAGAGACCAGAAGCAGGTCATTCCCAGGGTAGGACAGCGCTTAGTCCCTAGCCCTCTGGAAGAGATGAAGGGACCATGGCATCTTTGCAAGCTCTCTACCAAGGTGTTTATCTCCTCTATGCTGTGAGTATTCATGGAGGCAGCGCTAGAGGACTGGAAAGTTGTACTTACAGATCGCAACTTGTCAATGTTCAGGAACTGCGTGTTAAAGCCCTAGGCAAAGAAGCAGCGTGTTAAGAAAGTTGCTAAGGAGAGTGAAGAGATAGGGGACAAACTCATGGCTGGAGTGTATGGAAAAAGAGATTGTTTACCTCAGGTCCTGCCGCATAATTACCAATGGTGGTTGCTTCCTGGAAAGTGAGAGGGAGAAAAGGAGGCAGGTGACTCCATGATGGCAAGTCCCTCTCTCACTCCCTCTCTGCCAGCTCTGCCTTCAGCCCCAGGCCGGTCCCTGGGAGAGCACAACTGAGTCTCCACCGTGGGGCCTCAGTGTTAACACACTCTGTTCCAGGAATGCCCATGGCTGGCAGATGTGCAGGTAAGGAGGGGGGACTGGAGGATGGCATGTGTAAGATCAAGACGTTCAAAACCCAGGTCTGCGTCACACAACTGAGTCTCCACCGTGGGGCCTCAGTGTTAACACACTCTGTTCCAGGAATGCCCATGGCTGGCAGATGTGCAGGTTAGGAGGGGGGACTGGAGGATGGCATGTGTAAGATCAAGACGTTCAAAACCCAGGTCTGCGTCCCTGTGGGCAGCAGGTGGAAAGCGTGGAGGAAGGAAGACTCCTCCCAAGAAAAATTAGTTAGTGTTGTTTGCAGTTGACTTAATTCTAAGAGTACTTGAGTTGGGGTGTTCTGGAGACACCCACATTTAGCCTAAATGGCAGGGTGGGGAAGACCAACATGCAGGGGGAGCCAGGCTGCTGAGGTGACCTGCCTGCCTTTCACTGACCAAGGTGGGTTTGCTTTGTGACTTTACTGCCACCAGTGTTGGAGTGTCCATTCCTCTCCTCCATTTGGTAACTCAGTGCATCCAGTCTTGTTAGCTTTACGCCTTCCTCCCCACGACAGAGGTCACAGACTTGTAGCTCACAGGCTACATCCAAATGTTTAGATCTCATAGTTGTTTGGCTTGTTTTTTAAATTTGAATTAAACACTTTTAATGAGTACAAATTTATAAATAAATCAAGATTTCCCGTTTCTCCCGACAATTTTAAAATGCTGGTCACACTGGGCACACATTTCCGACTGAGCAGCAGTCAGAGGGAGGGAAGCCTGCCCCCATTTAGACTGTAAGTTTGTTGCACCTTCTTTTTTTTTTTTTTCCTTTTTTTTGTCTTTTTTCGTGACCGGTAACGGGATCGCAACCCTCGGTGTCGCGCCCGCACCGTGCTCAGCCAGTGAGTGGACCGGTCTCTATATGGGATCCGAACCCATGGCCTTGGTGTTATCAGCACCGCACTCTCCCGAGTGAGCCACGGGCTGGCCCTATCCTTCGCTTTTTTTATATCCTTGCAAACAGCTTCCAGGAGATTGGAGGCTCCCTACTATCTCTGGAACATAGGTT